TTCAAAATTGTAGCTTGAAGAGATGGCCAACTTCACCCTAGTGAGGAGAGAATGCTTGCAGGCTGCCTTAGTCAGCCAGGATGAAGAAGAAGAAGAAGAGATTGGATTTATACCCCGCCCTTCACTTGGAGTCTCAGAGCGGCTTACAAACTCCTTTCCCTTCCCCTCCCCACAACAGACACCCTGTGAGGTGGGTGGGGCTGAGAGAACTCTGACACAAACTGCTCTTTTTCAATGACAGCTGTGCCAGAGCTTGTGACTGACCCAAGGTCACATCAGCAGGTGCAAGTGGAGGAGTGGGGAATCAAACCCGGTTCTCCCAGATTAGAGTCCGCGCACTTAACCACTACACCAAACTGGGACTTGGGGGGACGTGAGTAGCCCCTTGCAAAGTTGGTTTTGGGGGTGGGATGTGTCAGAAATGGAGCTTGGAAATTCACTGTGCCTCTCTGTCAAGACTTGGGAAGAATGTTTCCCTTTTCTCTATTTCCTTGGAGAAGAAATGTTCCACATAAGCCCAAAACCTAGGTAGCACAACAAAGGGCTGTTTGCTCCCTCTGTTGTTCATTTGTTCAGGAGCCTTCACACCCAACGCCTTATCATTTTGGGAGCCTCAACTGACTGTGAGCTTTAGGTTTTGGGAGCTTGAACAGACCACCCACCCAGGCTGTCCAGTGGTGGACATAGCTTTGGTGTCCAAACACAGAACAGACTCCTTGTCCTCTGAACTGGACACAATTCAAGCTACAGCCTTCCCCCAGAGTTCTGTTGGGCAGATGGGCTAGCAGGACCGCGTGCTCCACAGCCTAGGGATTACTACCCAGGGAACATGAAAAAGGGAATGATCCCTTTTTTAAAAAGAAGAAGAAGGGAAAAGAACGTTACCAATGGATAAAATCTTGAAGCTGTCTCAATCCATGTTCTTATGGAGAAGACAAGAAAAAGACTGCAGTGGTGGGCATCCCTCTGTCCTGGAGACAGAAAGAGCAACCTATTTCCTGCCTCTAGGGATCACAGGAAGCAGAAATCAACTGTGGGAGGGCATCCTCCTCCGCTTAAGAAAGAACATTTATCTGCTACCTTCTACTGAGTCACCATACTAAGGTCCACATTATCTTATTTGGAACTAGAACAACCAACTGCAGGAGCTTGAGAAAACAGGGTTCCCCAACATGGTGCCCATGGGCAACCAAGGACACTTTTCCTGGTGCCTGCCAAGTGTTTTTAGAAAGGGGGTATGGCCAGGAAGCAGGCCTTCCTACTGGCCACTGGAAAGCTGATTAGCTGTGCAGATTTTTCAGAAGGTGCCACTACTGCACAAAGACTTTCACTATATTACTGAAGATAAGCTGTGTGGAAGCAAGAATACATTTTTAAACAATGTGTTCATTTTAAAGGGCATCCTGTTAAATAGTGCTGAAATGCCAAAGAGTTACTATTAGAGTTACGCATGACCTCGCTCCCTAAGATTTGAGTTACCAATGGGTAAAAATGAGGCTCTGCCTCATGCAGCATCCATTTTGTGGCTGCACCTACCATCCAGTGTTACAATTCCAAAGCCACCCACAAGCTCAAAAACATTTGGGATGTCTGAGTTAGATCTAGCAAGAAGATATGAAGCAAGCACAGTTGGCAAACACGTTTTCATGTCACAAGATTCTTAAGATGTTCATGTTTGTGGTATAGACTCAGATTGCAGTACATCTGAGAAGAACTGGAATTTATTTAGTACCTGAAGACACACAGTTACTTTTATCAATCACAGTAATTTAATTCTTAGAGGATCAGGCAGAATCCAGCATGACCTTGAGATTTCATATTATCTTAACAGCCATGGGCATATTCCTACATTGAGGTCAAGACAGTGGTACTAGCCAAATCCTCAAAGCAAATACTTAGATCTTTCTGGACTCAAACAAGCCAGATGGTTCTCATCCGGCCTCCAGGGTCTCTCAAGCTTGGTGTTATCTGTCAGATAGCCATATCTCCACTGTAAGAGAGATATTCATAAAGCTGCATGTCATCTGCATAATGTGGGCATTGCAGCTGATATTATCCCACTATGTCCCCTTAGGGGATGTATGTAAATATTAAAAACAGGTCCAAAAGGGAAAAAAAGACAAATGCTTAAAGGAGCCTACGAATCAAAACTTCCTGAAGAGAACAATTTTTTGCTGTTGAGCTTATGAATAAGTGTAAAGAAGTTACCAAAAACAGATTGGTGCAATTCTGTTTATTCTTGTCATAAAATCCCGGGAATTCAACAGCACATTTATAATGCAGAGGAAGTGGTATATATTCTAGCAACAACAGCATTCCATATTATTGCACTACATTACATTCTCCTAAATGTTTTTGTTAATAAGGGATAGAGACAGCTCAGTCTGACAGCTGAGAGGCAATACACTGCATTTGGGGCATCTGAAAACTTTTACCTGGGAAACAGCCATCTCCTTACCTCCTTTCCCTTGCATTTAAAATACCACAACACCTTTGCAACATAAGCAGCCATCACTACAATTCATAAACTAATCCAAGAACTACTTCCAGGCCTAACAACCAATACAACTAAGGAAGGGTATCAAGCTTAAAGGGAAAAAATGAACACAGTCACAAAGAGGCAAGTAACAACCGGCACAATTACTACTGGGAAGCACAATCCAGTGGCAGTGCAAGACTCAGGAAAAACAGAATGGGACACTGCAAGGTGTTGGAAAACCAAAACCTTCAGCTCATTGAACAATGACCCACCGGCATTTCTAGGACAACAAATCAGCATGGTGACAGTGGAGAGCCATAGACCATAAGGAGTGAAAAGGGAAAGAAGGCAGATGAGGTAAGATTGTAGATAAGGCATTAGACAAAAGCAAGAAGCTGGTGGGGCAGCATGTGCAGGACCCAAGGAAAAGAAAGGCATGGCGGTCCTAGCTAGAAAAGAAGGTAGGGGATGGCAATTACTCTCCTGCTCAAACACAGCCTCGACTTACCCATATTTCCATACATACGCAACCATTACATAGAGATCGCACCAATGTTTTAAATAATATTGTACGCCCCACACACACAAAAAGTATCAAACACTAAAACAAAATCAGATTTATTTCATTCCACTAGAACATGCCAAATTGAGGGGCATCCAGGATATCCAAGTAGACTGGGTCAGATTAAACTGTTAACGGTAGTTTTCTACTTCAGTCAAAAAATATGCATCTAAAAAGAGAGGAGGCTTGAAATATAAATACAACCTCTAAGTAAGTTAGGCTTGCCATTCACAAAAACAAAGTTGAAAACATGACTGTGGAGGAGCGGGCCTGCTCTGGCATACAGGCCCTATTCCACCCTGCTCTCCAAGTTTTTCCCAATACCTGGAGAGACATTTCTCTCTCTCCAGTAACCCACCACCACCACCTGATCTTAGTAGGAAATGCCTGCTGGGAGGATCAGGACTCCCAGCTTCCCTTCCAAATTCTGAGGCCATGCCTCTGTGTCTCCCACTGCCCAGAGCCTGGTTACCACGGGGACCATTTACTGCCTTGTGCACTGCTGGAGGAATAGCCACTTGCCAACTGCCTGCCCTCCCCCAGCACACGTTTTAAAATGGCATGGTACAGAGAACCACTACCAGCATCAAAGGTTATTAAGCATATATTAAACAGAAAATGTTCATACACATACTTTTAGCACATCACCAGATTGAGCAAGGGATTCAAAAGAAATGAGTAAAATGCGATTCCCGTTCCTCTCTCTATACATGTCCTATCTGATGTTAAAATACAGGACAGGCTCCTTAGCTTAGGAAGTTACAGATCTCTACAGAGTTACCATTACCTTGATTCTTCCTTCAGCTAAACACACCATCGCATGGCTAATGACTGCCTCCTCCAGACCTCAGTTAAGAGTTCTGTCTGTTCTGATGGACTCAGCACCAAAGAGAGCTCCCTCCTTGCTCCCATAAGTTTTATCTTCTCCCTTTCCCCTCTCATTGACCTGGTCCAGTCAGGTTAAGGAAGCTTTTCCTGATGACTCCATAAATTTCCTTCCTGAAGTCTCTCTAGTATTTAATTCCTCCAGATCTCTGTTCCCTGCTTGGAAGGGGGGGACTGGACCCTCCTATTGTCTCTTGCTAGACTTCTTAAGAGATAGCTGAGGTGAACCTGGAAAGCCATTGACTGACTTCCTCCTCCCTGCCTGTTCTCTGCCCAGAGGGGGGGGGAATTAAACTCAGAGCGAAGGTTTTGCTCATTTCAAATCTCCAAAGGAAGAATGCATTTCTTCACAATGACCAAGAAACAGAAGAGTTCAGAAGCATCACAAGTGCATGAAGCTCAGTTCATGTTTTCAAAGCTGACCAGATTCCCGAGTCCCAATTCAGGTTTCAGAACAGCTACAGCAAAGTAGTTCATCACAAACAAGAGGGGAAATATTCATGCCAGAGTCACCAGCAGATCTAGTACACTGCTGGACAACTGCTTCAGCATTTCATAATGCTACATGTTAGAGACTTCTAATAAGTACATTTAAGATGATTGCTACATTTTATCTCCTGGAATTACAATCTAATGTTTTATTGGTAGAAAATTGATGCCATTTGTAGCCCTGAATCCAGTGAGGGAGATCTTGGGAAAGCATTAAGAGTCATGAAGGTAGAAAGATGGACCACAAGAGATTCAACTGCAACATTAATTTTTAACTTTCCTCCAAAATCTTGCATATATACAGCACTGTGCAAATGACTGCCGGACCAGCAGCCACCTTCCTCTCCACTGTTGTCTCATTGTCCCCTCCAAACCCCATGTTTGCATAGATTGTGTGGAGCACTCACAAAGCAGATGACTATGAGCATCAGATGAAGGACAAATACCTGGGATTTATTTTACAGTTTATATGTCACTCCTTCAGCCCAGCAGAACGTAGGATCATGGTGTGAATTATACTTGCTGAAGACTTCAGAGCAACATTTATAAACATATCCAATCCCCAATATAACTTCATTTGTTTACCTCTTTTCATATGAATGTGAGTGAAACTGAAGATCTCGAGATCTTGACCTTGACTTTCTTCCCGATTTCTTACGACTGTAAGATCTGCTATCTGAAGAGCTACTTGAAGATGACCTCCTACGATGTTTCTTTTTTCTTCTGCTTCTGGTCTCTTCTTCTGTGTCTGATGAACGGCGACCCATTCTAAGAAGCTACTGTTCAAAAAGATAAAAACACTGTAAAGAGATCAAATACCATAATTATAGATGTGAGCTAGCACCTTGTGTGTACACAGAACTCCTTACACCTAGTTCTTCTTCAGTACTTAACTTCAGATAAAGAGCGAAACTGAAAATATCAAGAACACACTTCTGTCAGTGATATCATACAATGTACTTTATTTACATATTTATTTACTCCTTGCTTCTCTCCTCAGTGCTATCTTACATGCCATCACACACCCAACAAAGACATAGGCATGCACACAGTATATGCACAGAGACACACTCAGGGACGATTCCCTGTAATGATGAAATGCGTCAATTACCAGTCAGATATTCCCTCAACAGTTCACCTGAAACAGAACCTGTCTCATTTAGAAAGTTTGTTTCTAATAGACCTAGCACAAAGAGTGGCATGGGAGAGCTGAAAAAGAATATGTGGAAGGAAGATGAGAGCCCCAAGTACAGCAAAAATAAATTCAGGTGGGTAGCCATGTTGGTCTGAAGCAACAGAACACAGTTTGAGTCCAGTGGCATCTTTAAGACCAACACAGTTTTATTCAAGGTAATAGTTTTCATGTGTATGCACGTGCGCATGTGTTGGTCTTAAAGGTGCCACTGGGCTTAATTTTATATAAAGACCCCAAAACTTTATAGAAGAAGAGAAGAGATTGGATTTATACCCCGCCCTTCACTACCCAAAGGAGTCCCAGGGCAGCTTACAAACTCCTTTTCCTTCCCCTCCCCACAAGAGACACCCTGTGAAGTATGTGGGGCTGAGAGAGCTCTGACAGAAACTGCTCTTTTTCAAGAACAGCTGTGCCAGAACTATGGCTTGCCCAAGGTCATCCAGCAGGTGCAAGTGGAGGAGTGGGGAATCAAACCCGGTTCTCCCAGATTAGAGTCTGCGCACAACCACTACACCAAACTGGCTTAGACTGTTGAATGAGATAATTATATTGAACTAAGCTAGTCGCTTATACCATTACATTGACTTTTTAGAATAACAGATGATTTTAGTAAAATATCTGAACATTCCTAGTCTTGGATTAGGTGCATATTTGCAAACTGGAGCCCTTTAATGCAACAAAGGGACAAAGAATTAGAGGCTTTTTAACACACAGTACTCCTTGGACACCCTAAGAATCCTTCTAGGCAAAGATTTTTCACTGATTCAGCACACAAAGACTAACTCCCAGGTAAGCATGGATCTGATCTGATCTGATCTAAGAGGACCGTGGTTTTTTGGAAACTCAGATAAAAGATCTGCCTACTGGCCATCTCCCTCACATCATGCTATGTACTCCCTCACAGAGTGGAAGCAAAACCACTTCAAGATGAAGAAGGGGCTGGGTATGTACTGATATGACCTCACAGTTGAGATGTAAAAAAAAGATTTATTCCACTGCCACAAGACTATTGGGGGAAAGGTGTGGGAAACAGAAGACATTTGACCTCACTTTTTCTTTTTATAAGCACTGAAGAGAAGGGAAAGAAGAAAAGCATCCAACTATAGGGGTTCAAAACTAGAGGTCCTTGGGACAGATGTAAACAAAAAGATGCAGTGTGGTTCCCAAAAGCTAACTTAAAGCATGTGAACAAATAAAGCCATTCATTCTGAGTGACACCACTGCACTATCAGAGTCACCCATACTGGGTCCTCTGACTGGCAGCAACTCTTCATCTTTCACATCACCCACTTCCGGATCCTTTAGCTGGAGATGCTACTGATTGAGCCTAAGATCTTCTGCACACAAAGCAGACACTTGCCACTGTCACAGCTCCACCCCAACAAAAAGAGCCAAGAGAGACTGAACAAAATGAAAATTTTGGTAACAGCAGTTCCTAACACACGACGTGGGGATAGCGCCTGAGTTAAGAGCCCACAATCCCAGGAAAGTGATTCCTCAGGACAACTAGTTAGCGACCAGAGCAGCAAATTACGTCCTCACTTGGCATTACCAGAGTATTAAATGAGAAGCAGGGAAGGGGCTCCCTAATAGACTAGTCCCTAGACAAGGAAGGAAGGAAGGCTGGCCAAGAAAGTGTCCTGCTTTCTCGGTTTCTGTGAAAATTTTGAACTTCACGACTAGGAGTGCAGCTCCAAAATGGGAGAAGTGAAGTCACATCCGTATAAGATCTCCATTCTGGCCGATTCTAAAGCCTATAAACAGCAACCCTTTCCGTGGGAAGGGTGACAGACACTGAAGCCCGAAATTGAGGCTTCGGATTGCTCTCTATAAAGAAGCAATGCGGCTCATCAACATGGGCCTCTCCCCCACCCCCCCACCCCCACCAGTAGGGAGGCCTGAGATGTGGGAAGAAATAATCACCTTTCCTCTAAAAGCTCTGGCAACGGTGACGAGGAGGAGCAGCGAGCCGAGCCCTCCGGTCTGTCGACTTCCCTTTCAACACCGGTAGAGGCAAGGGGTGTCTCCCTGCCACAAGGCAGTAGCTATAGAGCAACTGCGGGGCGCGCTCTAAGTCGCCGCCCTTTCACTACTACGACCACCACGGCCAGCCGCGGCCTAGGCTTCTGTTATGGCCCAAAGGTCACAGCTCTGCTGTAACCATGGCAACTCCCGAGCCACCGGCCCGTTTACCTTCGAGCCCGCCGAAGGCCGCCACGCTACCGAGCTTCCGTAGTTTGAGCTCAGCGCCTTCCTCCTCCAGAGCAACAGCCAGCCTTAGCTAAGCTATCCCAGATCTCATCTATTCAACACGCAGCCACGGCAGAAGAGTGCCGAAGGCATCGATTGGAAGGGTAGCCTTTTACATGCTCGGTCGGCGTGTTCATGGTTTCCTGGGGCGCATTCGTTTCTTTTCAAAGGCTGGCAACACAAACATACAATAAAGCAGATCTTACTAATGTTCACTATAGATGCTTTGTTTTTTAAAATGCAGTGCTATTCATGCTCTTTCTTTATTGCCTACTTTCTCCCCCCTTTCAGCCACCACCCCCGGGGGGGGGGGGGGGGGGAGAAACAAACAGGAATAAATCACAGAGTTCTGTCTGTATAAGGTGCGCTATGATTAAAATTGCAATGATTTATCTGCAAATTGCTTTAAAAGCGCTGCAATTTCCCTTCCCGGGAAATGATGGGCTTTCTGAGGTTAGGACGGTGCAAATTAGTTTCCCAGTTGAGACTATTTAGGGGTTGAGATTGTCGCAGGAGGAGGGGAGCGAAGAAGCCCCGTTGGAGGAGGCAAGGGGGAAAAATTTATCGTTTTTCATTTAAGCCAAGAGTAATTAAAGAAGCTCCCTATTTCCTGGATTCCAGGCTCTATCGACGTTTCCCTCCCCCTCCTAGCCGAGGAAACCATCTCCCTTCTTTTCTTTTCTTTTCTTTTCTTTTCTGCTATAAAGACGAGAAGGCGCTTTTGTCTGGGGGAGCCAAGTCGCCCCCGCTGCTCTGCGCTGGCCGGTGGGCCAAGGCCACTGAATAGGCCTCGGGTCGAGCAACCAGGCCCGGCAGTGGTGGCGGCGGCGGCGTTTCTTCAGAGCCCTGCGATGCCATTCAACAGAAAGGGATGCGGGGAGGTCCAGGGACCGTGCAACAGCCTGATCTCTCTTCCACGAGCGGCTCGGCTTCTCTGTGGACGCCTCCCCGGCCTGCAGTCTGGGACTTGGCCTCCCAAGAGCCGATCCGTCGCCGGGCTTTCGCGGCGATCCTAACCTGGGCGCCTTGCAAATGTGGCGCTCCAGTCAATTGGGCTGGAGGGGGGCAAACAAACCCTCCGGGCGGGCCAGACTTGGGCTTTTCGCCTCGAGCGTCGATTGCGCCCCAGTGACTGTGGGGAGGCGGGTTTTGCCCGCGCATTGATGCCAAAGCCTTGCATACCTTTATTTCTCACAATCCGAAAAGTGTGATCATCTCGACACTTTTTTTTTTTAATTATGCCACGAGTAAATAGGAATGTGCTCTGTCGTAAATGTAACCTCGGTTGTTGCTTGTTGGCGACGCGAATCCTCTCCACCGGAAAAACCAGCCTGATCTTTCTGGTTCGTCCAACTTTTGGCTTTGTTTCCGTCTGAAGTGTACCAGACGGGATCGACCAAGTGGGACCCGGAGATCTTCCACTAAAACTCTAGGAAGTCATTGATTAAAACGCGCACAGACCCACCTACCCACCCCCAAACATGGTTTTAAAACAGGTGGGGCGCAGGCAGTTCGAGGAGCGAGTGGCGCCTGATTCCCAACTGCGTCGCTTAAAAGTGAAAAGTCCCCCGGAATCCAACGAGGCCGACTTGCAAGCGAGGCTTTCGGTCCTGGTGTGAAGAGTTCAGGAACGCTTCTCTCCCCCCTTCGGTCCATCAGAATAATTGCCTGGGTTTTTGTGTTGTGCGTGTACGTGTGTGTGTTCAGCAATTTCCTCCCAGTCAATAGAACATGACAGTAATAATTCCGCCGCTTTTCCTGCAGTCCAATACTTTCGTGTCACAATATTGTCAATTTAAATCTTAACAGGCTAAAAGGGGAGGGGGGATGAGAGAATTATAAGGAGATAAGACAATACTCGGCTGGCGGCTGCTGTTTGCCTCCAAATGTTTTTTTAAAAATTCGATTCTTGCCTCGTGTGAAGCTGAAGTTTAAATACCGTCGCTCCTTGCAGTCTTGTTCGGGAGGGGAAGGCACCAGGCGTCGACAATTAGGCATCTCTCCTCCCAAGGCGTAAAAACGCTGTGTCTTAAACAGCCTGTCAGTTTTACAGGCCGGAAAGTAATGAGTTGAAACAATGGCGGAGAAAAAGAAAGACAAATTAGCTATAAAGGTTCTAAATCGAGTTTCACTGATATCCCTCTTAGCCAGACTGGTAAGGGGGGGATACAGAGAGGATGAAATTCTAAGGGCAGCGCGATCCCAATTACGTTTACTCGGAAGTAAGTTCCACTGGGTGCTATCAGATCTGCACACACTGTGTATGGGGCTGCCGCCTAAAACTTGGATGTTAGTTCAGTGTAACTCAGGGGCAGGGGGGGGGGGGAGCTCCTAAGTGTAATTTGTATCGCAACCGTCAATGTGTCTACTCATCAGTAAGTGCCACTAAATTCAGTGGGGTTTGCCCACAGCCCAACATGCTCGGGACAGCAGCTTTAAATTGAGGGCTTGCTGGATTCCGGACGTTCACAGTCACTCCGATGAGAACACTGGTATTCTCCTTCAAAGCTTTGCAGTAAGCATCCTGAGGACACTTTCCTGGGAGTAAGCCCCGTTGAGGAGACTTGAGTGGGATTCCGAGCGGCGCTGCGCTGCTGGCAGACAGAGGACATCCGCGGTTTTCCTCTCGCTTAGGTGGGGAAAGCCGAGCGCATCTCCTGTCTCAGCTCGCCTGCGAAAGGCAGCCTCTAGGAGCTTTCGCCCTCCACGTGCATTTCCAGCCGGGGAACCGGCTTTCCGGTACAAAAGAGCAAAAAACCCGGGACTTCTGGAGTTCTCTGGCCCCGCAGGAGAGACCTCATCCCCGAGGGCGACTCTGAAACCCTCCCCCGCCCCCGGTTCGGCCACAAAGACAACTTTATTGTTAAGAGAAGGCAGGCGGGAGGGGGGAGGGAGGGAGTCTAGCGAAATCCGAATTGACAGCACTCGGAAATAACTCCGTTGGAAAGCAAGGCAACACCTTCGATGTCTAGAGTTGTCTTGCGGGGGGGGGGGGGGAGGGAATTGGGGGGAGGCAACATCTAAGGACGTGGGGGGGGGACAATTCGGACGGATTTTTCACCTCCCTCCGTGTAATCTGGGTCGGTCCTAATCACATTTCCGGGGTTCAACGACAATCATCTCTTTCCAGATCCACGAGGTTGAGGAGCGGGCTGGGGAGGTCTGAGCCGGGCAGAGGCTTTAAAAAAAGAAAAGAGGCAATCGGGAGGCCGACGGAACGGGCAGCGGCTGCCCTTGGCGAGTGGAGCCGATCAAAGGGGCGCGCCAGCTCTTGGGCAGCAGGCGATGCCCTCCCCGCCCGCCCCGCGTGCTGGTAAATAAGACGTTCTCCTCCGGCAGCTCGCCTCGCTCCCCCGCCCCGCCCCGCC